TTGGGGGACGATGATGATAATGATGCTCCAACCTGGCCGTAGATCATCTTTCTTCTTTGAATTCCCTCATAAGCTTTTTAAAGTGCCATATGGCCTATCCCTCTTGTATGCCTTATGCCCACCTCTGTACTTTCATTTTTTCCGCTTTTTACCGCCTACTTAATTGTAATAGCCAGACTACTTAATCAATGAAGTTTTGTTTGCTCTAAATCTAAAATATGTTTAAATGGATCATTTATTATCAAACTAATTGCAACGTAGGCCTACCTCAGGCAAAATTAGGTTCTATATTAGGACGCGCTTTGAATGTCGTCAATTTGGCGTATATATGTGTTACATTTACTTATTTATTACAACTTTCAATATTTCCCAAACTAACATAGTTTCCCTTTCTCTTTGTTTTCTTTTCTTTATTTATCCCAAAAAAGTATGTTGATTTGTGTCGACTTGCAAACTGGCAGACTCACGATACAACCTTCAATCAAAGGGGAAAATGACTGATAAATATGAGTTCAACGCTGCCGCAAACACAATAGTACCTATTAAGAATCCTAAAAGTTCTCGAGGTATAGCTAACATTCAAAATGAGGAGAAAATGGCTCACATGGAACAAGAACTCAAGATCTTGAGGGAAGAATTGCGTCAAGTGCGAGACTTGGCCAAACTATCGGCGACCACTTTCCCTACTTTCAAGACACATATCTACTTCCCAAAGGCTGACTTGCCTTCTGCCGACTTACCAAATCAGCCGAAACTGACTCAACGCGCTCCTACTCACGGTCAAGTTCCACCAGCTTCTCTAACTGCAGTCAGGGTCGTTCCTGACCTTTCTAATCGCGACCCTACCATACCTACAATGCAGCAGATACTTGGGGCATATGTCGCCGCTCCCTAAGAGACACATGTTCCACCTGTATATGCCGCTGGAGCTCCTACCTTCAGTATGCCATCTTTGGTTAATGTCCCATACAAGGTCGATCAATATGAAGAAATAGAGAAAGACGTCCGGTTGAAAGAAGATGCATTGATAAATGCCCAACTTCAAGGTCTGAAAAAGGCATTGAAAAGCTTACAAGTCACTTGAGGGACAGAAAGCCTGGATTATGATGACTTGTGCATCCATCCAGACATTGACATGTCGGTAGGGTACAAACCACCAAAGTTTGACATGTTCTATGGAAAGAGTGGCCCTCACGCACATTTAAGGGCATACTGTGACAAGTTAGTCGGTGTAGGGAGAAATGAGAAGTTGAGGATGAAGTTGTTCATTCAGAGTCTGTCTAGAGAAGCATTAACCTGGTATACCCGCCAAGACCCTCGCAAATGGCGTGACTGGCAGGAAATGGCCGAGGACTTCATGACTCGTTTCAGATTCAATACTGAAATTACTGCTGACAGATTCTCATTGGCCAATATACATAAGAAGCCATCTAAGGATTTCCAGGAATATGAACGACGTTGGAGAACTAAGGTCGCGAAGGTGCAACTACCACTAGATGAGAGTGAGCTCTCGAAGTACTTTATTCGAGCTAAAGAAGGTATCTACTTTGACAAGATGATGTCAATGATGGGTTAGAAGTTTGCATAATTGGTCAAGATGGGAGACTTTATAGAGGAGGGTGTTAAATCTGGGAAGATCCAGTCTATGGTCACATTGCAACCTGCAAGTAGGGCTATACAATCGGGTTCCATTGGCGGCATCAAAAATAAAAGGGAGGATGTTTCAGCTGTCACTTACTAACCAGGAGGACCATCCCACCGATACCCCAATAATCTCAAAATCACTGCGCATAGTTTATACGTCCCAGTATATAATACCCAACCATTAATCCACCCCGAGCACCAGCATACCAAAACCCTCCAAGACCATATGTCCCTGTCCAAACACCAATTCACCAAAATAGACCAGCATATGCACCGAGACCACGTCCAAATCCTGAAGCTAGAAATTCTCGCACTTATACACAGATTGTCGAACCCTACGTCCAATTGTTTGAGAGGTTGAGGACAGCGGGAGTGCTGCAACCAGTTAAAGGAAAACTTCCCGATCTAACCCCTCGTAATTTTGATGGGAACAAGCGATGTGCTTACCACTCGGGAGTCCAGAGACACGACACAGAAGAATGTTATGGTTTGAAGAACCAGATCGAGTCTTTGATCAGGAGAGGAGTAATCAAATGCACTCCAGCACCTCCCAATGTGAACAACAATCCCTTGCCAAACCATGAGAATAGGGAAGTCAACATGGTTACTTTGGATGAAGAATAGGGAGCCCCCGACTATCCAAACATAGGTGAAGCAGATGACATGACATCTTTGGCACAGCCTGTTATCACTGTTCAACTAAGGGAACCTCTGGCTGTCCAAACATATCTCCCAAGAGTTGTAGTGACCACTCTAATTGCTAGAAAGCCTGAGCATGATACCAAAGCTGTCCCTTGGGACTATTGAGCAGGCGCCAAGGGCAAGATGATCGACACTGCTGTGGCTCAAGGAATGACTAGGTCGGGACGGTGTTATGCCCCAGAGGACCTAAATCAAAGAGTTCTTGGAAATGAACAGAATCCAAAGAAGAATGTTACCGATGCTGAAGCCGCAGAGTTTTGGAAGAAGATGCAGTCTAAAGACTATTCGATCGAAGAACAGCTAAAGAAGACGCCAGCCCACATATCCATTTGGTCTCTGCTTATGAGTTCTGAAGGTCATATGAATGCTTTTATGGAGGTGTTAAACAGAGTGAACATTCCAAAAGAGACCACAAGTGAAACCTTAGCTTTAACGATTGGATGAATAGTGGAAGCTAACAAGATTTCTTTCCATGAGGATGAGTTGCCTACGGAATGGGCAGGGCACAACAAAGCGCTTCACATCACAGTCAAATGTTGTGATAAGATTGTGACTCAAATTTTAATTGATGGTGGCTCTGGATGCAACATATGTCCTTTCACCACTCTGAGGGATTTAGGTGTTAATATGGGAGGGATAAGGGAAAGTCGTGTGAAAGTTAGAGCCTTTGATGGAGCGCAAAGAAATGTCATCGGAGAAATCTATCTCACATTGCATGTGGGGCCGGCTGAATTCCCCATTCTATTTCAAGTGATGGATATATCGTCCAACTACAACCTGATGTTGGGAAGACCATGGGTTCACATGGCAAGAGTGGTTCCTTCCACTCTTCATCAATGTGTAAAGTTTTAGTGGGGTCGCACAGAAGTTACAGTCCACGGGGAGCTCAGTCACCCCATTCATTCTGTTAATTCTCTCCCAGTCACCGACGAGTTAGACGGAGCCACTTTTCACACTTTGGAAATCATGCAAGCTATAAGGGTCAATGAGGAAGCAAAGCCCGAAGATACCAAATTGTCAACCACAACAAAAATGGTTGCGTCAGAAATGTTGAGGTATGGGTATCAACCAAAGAGTGGGCTTGGACCCAAGTCTAACGATATAGTCGAACCAATCCAACTGAAGCATCAGAGAGGCACCAACGGACTAGGATACGAGCTTGACTTGGGAAGATTCCACCGGGAGGCAAGTGATACAATCTTCGTACTAGAACAAGCTTTGATTCCAGATCAAGATGGTGTTGATGACATCACTGAAGGAATAGGCAATTTGTTCGTGGCCATGGCTGAAGAAGGGGAAGGGATAAATCTCAACAAGTTGACCATTCGTGATGCCGAACCTAGAGAAATCTTGCAGAATTGGACCACCAGCCCGTCCGTATTTCAACCAGAGTCCTGGTAGTGTGGAAAAGTAGTCTTAATTTTAAAATTCGCATGATCAAATTGAGGCTTGAATCATGCCTATTCTTTTGTTGCTTGCCTCATCTTAAAACCTAGAATGCTTTGAAATAAAAAGTCTTTATTTTCTTTAAAAGATTTCTCGTTATTTTAAATATATATTTATCTTTACTTACCTTTTGCACTTTTCAGCACTCATATTAATAAAAATCCCCGTTCAACGGTTATGACATGTAACGAATCCACCGAGCAAGCTGAAAATGATAAACAAGATCACGAAGAGTATGATGAAAGCAGGATGCCTGAAAACCTACCATACGAGATCGAGTAGGTTGAAAGTCAGAAGAAACCCAATATGGATGAAACAGAAGTTGTCAACTTAGGAGATGAGGAAATCGTGAAGGAGACACGAGCCAGCATACATTTGGAGGCTGAAAGAAAGCAAGAGTTAATAGAATTACTTAAGCAGTATGTTGACGTATTTGCTTGGTCTTATGATGACATGCGAGGATTAAGCACCGATATTGTCTCACAAAAATTACCGACTGATCCCACTTGTCTACCTGTTAAGCAAAAGACAAGAAAATTTAAGCTAGATTTGAGTTTAAGGATCAAGGAGGAGGTAACTAAGCAAATTGAGGCGAACATTGTGAGGGTTACAAATTACCCCACATGGTTAGCCAATATTGTGCTTGTGCCAAAAAAGGATGGAAAAATCAGAATATGTGTGAACTATCAAGATCTCAACAGGGCCATTCCTAAGGATGATTTCCCTCTTCCAAATATTCATATACTCATCGATAATTGTGCAAAACATGAGTTGCAATCATTTGTCGATTGTTTGCAGGATAACACCAAATTCTGATGGATGAAGATGATGCAGAAAAGACATCGTTTATCACTCCATAGGGAGTGTATTGCTACAGAGTAATGCCATTTGGTCTAAAAAATGCCGGTGCAACCTACATGAGGGCCATGACTACCCTTTTCCATGATACGATGCACAAGGTAATTGAAGTGTACGTGGATGATGTCGTTATCAAATCCAGGAGAAGTTCAGACCACCTGGATGACTTACGAAAGTTCTTTGAAAGGTTACGCTAGTATAATCTGAAATTGAATCCAGCAAAGTGTGCATTTGGAGTACCCGCAGGAAAACTATTGGGATTCATTGTTAGCAGGAATGGCATAGAGTAAGATCCATCAAAAATAAAGGAAATCCAAGACCTACCTCCACCTAAGACCAGGAAAGACGTGATGAGTTTCTTGGGAAGAATGAATTACATCAGTTGGTTCATAGCTCAAACTGCAGTGATCTGCGAACCCATATTCAAGTTACTGAAGAAGGATGCTGCCACAAAATGGACAGAAGAATGCCAAAAGGCTTTTGATAGAATCAAAGAATACTTGTCCAACCCACCAGTACTGGTCCCACTAGAGCCGAAAAAGCCTTTGTTATTGTATTTATCTGTCATGGATAATGCATTTGGATGTGTATTGGGGCAGCATGAAGAGACAGGTAGAAAAGAGCAAGCCATTTACTATCTGAGTAAGAAGTTCACACCATACAAGGCAAGATACACCTTGTTGGAACGGACATGTTGCGCTATGACTTGGATCGCACAAAAGTTTAGGCATTACCTGTCTGCATACACCACATACTTGATCTCAAGAATGGATCCACTCAAGTACATCTTTCAGAACCAATGCCTACAGGTAAGCTAGCAAAGTGGCAAATTTTGTTGAGCGAGTTTGATATCGTGTATGTGACACAAAAAGCCATCATAGGACAAGCCCTGGCGGATCACCTCGCAGAAAACTCGGTGGACTAGGATTACAGGCCGGCCACAATCTACTTCCCTGATGAAGAAGTTTTGTTTGTAGGAGAAGACATATCAGAGTCGTATGATGGATGGAGGATGTTCTTTGATGGAGCATCGAACTCTATTGGAGTTGGAATAGGAGCAGTCTTAATTTCGAAAACAGATCAGTATTACCCAATCTCAGCCAAGATTAGGTTCTACTGTACCAATAACATGGCGGAATATGAAGCTTGTATTCTCGGACACAGGATGGCAATAGACATGAATATCAAAGAACTCTTGGTGATAGGAGATTCCAACTTGTTGGTTCATCAAGTACAAGGAGAATGGACCACTAAGAATGTCAAGATCCTTCCTTATTTTCATTACATAAAAGAGTTAAGTAGGAGATTCACAAGGATTGAGTTCAAGCATGTCCCTCGAGCTCAAAATGAGTTTGTCGATGCTTTGGCAACTTTGTCCTCGATAATTT